ATATCACAGCTAATCAACAAGACACACTTTGATAATGAAACACGTTAAATCTTGTCAGTGTAATAAGTATATTAAAGACCAAAATTGAAGGTTTAGTCCTAATTTAGATTCAAATATTTCGAGATTTGGGAAATAAATGCCTGTGGCCTAGATCCTCAGAGGGATGTTGGTGACTAAATACCTTTCTGGCCGTATGTGCTCAGGCCAGTAGTTGATTTTTCAAACTCTGCAACAATGCACAGAGTAATGGGATAGGTTTACAACATCTCCACTGTACTACATAGTTATTTATTTTTAAAGTCAGCCTGTGGATCTGTTTAAGTATACCAGCTCTCTAGACCTATAAATATGTCTTCACTAACACTGCTAAAATACAACCTCAGTGCAGATTAAAAGGTGGGAGCACTTCAAAGATTTAGAGATGAATTTTATGTTCCACCAAATTTCCCAGAAGACTTGGGCCAAACATACCTCACAGATTTTTAAATTTTTATAAAATATGTAGTCACTGTGTACTTTAAATGGTAGCATCCATCTAAGTATTTACTCTAGGTGACCTATACAGTCATGCTTACATAATTACACTATACACAATTTACTGGAAATGTATTAAATATTCATTGACTCTTGTGTTTGAGTGTAAACAAGTCACTTCAAATATCAGGTTTTGAAATTCCTTGAAGGTGAAGAAGTTTGAAGCAGCGGTACTGCCTAGTTGAGTATTTTTCATGTATTTCTGACATGGAAAGCCAGATGGATGGTACAGGGCAGAGTATAGTAGCTTCTGGCCAAATGGTAACACCTGTGGGGCCTTATTCTGATCTCATACCAGCATAATTCAGGAGTTACCTCCTTTGAAATCAGTGGACATACACAAGTGTCAAAATGCAAAAATGAGAGGCTGATCAGGCCCATACATTTCTGTCTACTTTTATTGCTGTCTCCTCCATTTTTAATTAGTTTATCAAAAACATATATCCAGAGCAGTTACTACATAAAGAAAGTCAGGTGCATGGGCCCCCACAACACATATGTACGTACATGCATCTCTGAGAAGAGTGAGGAAGCCCAATAGAGCCTCTATACTTTCATTATTCTTAGTTTTGGGGGGCAAAGAAGAATGTGCTCCCTGCATTGGTTTCCCCTTTTTAGGGAGAGGAACAGAAGAAAGTGCCTCCTGACGGATCATTCTTTCTCATGGAGAATGGAAAAGAGGGGAAGAGAGATTGTAAGAATGGAGCACAATCTTGACCATAAGGATGGGAGTGGAAGGGGGCTACAGATAACTGCGAGTGCATTGAGCATCAATCTGTCACAGCTCTCCATTTTACACCCTCCCTCACCATTCTCCCATCATATTTGTTTGATTGGTTGCAGGCCTAACTATCTGCAGTATATTATGTTTGCTAGTTAATTTAATCTTTTTTTTTTCTTGCACCTTCCTGGCAATTATAATTGTATTTAAAACATGAAGGATGATAATGTTGCTTGTGAGGCAAATTCTTACATTTCTGCGCATTTGAAATTCAAAGACAAATTAAAATGCAGAACAGTTGTTTGAGATTATTGTTCAGAAACATGTTACAGACTGTATTTAATGAATCACAAATATGGAGCTTTCTCCTCAAGCTTAATGAACTGAGACTGTGTAACTTCACTGCACCATTTTAACAGAACATAAAGAAGAGGGAAAACCCCACTTTCTCTAGAAGTCATTGCTTGGGTTTTAAGAACTTCAGAAGTTTTTCATGATGGGTAACACAGTAGCTCTTTTACTTTGTGCGCTGGTTGTTCGAAGGTGGAAATCGTCGAATTCCAGAGATATTTTATCCCCGACCTTTTAGCAATAAAGAAAAGCTGTAGATTATCAAAGTAAAAAAAATGGGTTAGGTGCCTTTGGTTTCTTGTAAGAGTGTCTGTAAATTCCTAGTGGAATTCCAGGCTTAGTGCAGAGGGAGCTGGCAGTGGATATTGATCTCCACTTGAATTCACTGAATAAATAATGGTTGCCATAGTTATTGAGCGTTCACAACTGGTAGGGAAGCGAGAAAATCTCCAAAACCCCTCCTGTGATCATTTTGCTATAAAATTGTCCAATTAATTTATGCCTTATATAATTTAAAATGTAGGTAAATATGTAGCTATCTTGGGTTTCTTATATTATAATTTACATTATAGTTGAAAGCCACTACTAAATATTTTGACTACTAACAAGAAAGGGCAATTATTACATTTTATTGCATGAAACAAGCTCAATCAATATTACATGGCATCCCCATTCTAATATATTATTATATACTTTTAAAATATATTCATTTTGATGGTTACAGTATTACCTAAATATAGATTGATATTTAGAATAAAGAGCACATGTATTCTCATAATGACACTGATTTGACTGTTCTTTTGCCATCCTTTTGCAGAACGACATGGATTAAAAGAACCAAAGAAAGTGGAAGAGCTATGCAACAAGATCACTAGCAGCTTAAAAGATCACTTAGCTTTCAGCTGCCAAAACAAAGGACAACCACTTGAGTCTGCAGAGCCTAAGGTACTGGGTGTTCTTGCTGACTTGCGTTCTCTCTGCACACTGGGACTGCAGCGCATCTTTTACCTGAAACTGGAAGATTTGGTGCCACCCCCTTCCATTATTGACAAGTTGTTTTTGGATACCCTACCTTTCTGAGTCTCAAATTACCCTCATGAAAAGCTAATGCCCACCAAATGGATTGTGACTTACTGCTTACATTTCTGCTCTCACTTAATAGAAAAGCAACTCCCGCCCTAAAATGAGGACTTTGTGGGCACTTTTTTCCTTGAAAAATAAAGGCCTAAAGTTTAATGGTTTACTGTTTGGGGTTGTGTTCTTGTTTTTGTTTATTTTTGTGTGATTTGGGATTTTTTATAAATTGCTAATAAGGCACTTTTGGACAATGCTATCCCAGCAGTAAAAGGTTAACATGACTGTTTAAAATCTATTGTGTAACACCTCGTCATATATGGGGAATGCAAACGTAGAAGCTGTGTTTGAAAACAAGAACAACAAGTAGTTGTTTGCCAGGGTAGTATGTGTTTTGTGATGATACCTTTAGCATACTTCCTGTATTAAGGGCACACATATTGGCACAAACTAAACAAAAGTTCACTTTTTTAACAAAGAACATCCAACTGAATATTTCATATAAATCAGATATAGCAAAATGACAATGGCTGTTAGCTCCCATGTTCAAGTGCAATTTTTTTAAAGTGCTGTCTTACTAAGTCTTGTTTATTAACTAATTTATTTTAATATGATAATAAAATGGAAGAAATCAAGTGAGAAGTTACATGCACTAACTTACACGACAAAGTTTCCCAAACTTGAATTGATGTAGTGTGACTTACTGACAAACTTATGTGGAAGACACAGGGACAATTTGTGATTCAGTTGAGCACTTGTTCCTTAAGTAAGGAAGTAGAAGTAAGTAGTGATTGGAACACACAGGGTCAGCATCAGGGATAGTTAAGTTTTAGAGTTCATCTAGGTAACAAGTTAGTAAACAGGCACAAGGTGGTTTTGAAGAACAAGCAAGTCTTGTAAAATAGTATGAATGTAAGAGCTAGGAAGGCTATAGTGAGCTGCGTTTAAACATTCCGTGTTCGTACTCCTTTTTTGTATGTTTATACTGTTAATGCCATATTAATATTAAATAATTTGTTGCATAGTGTCTTTATTTGTATAAACGTTTGTATGCATGGTATATTGTAATGGCTTTGCCTGTATTTATTGCAATGACTGCCAGCTCATGGGAGCCGTGTTACACAAAGTAACTAAATGGGGTGTTCACACTGACTCAGACACACCAGTTAGAGAACTATATATATAGATATAGATAATTCTATATCTATATCTATATATAATATGTGCGTGCGTGTGTGTACATATATACATATATGTGTATATACATGGGTGTGTGGGGTTTTTTATTAACCATTTGTATATAAAATATCTGTCACTTCACGAGCAACGTTATTTTACAGTTTTTTTGCTGTGACTTTTAAGGCAGTACTGTTTAGCACTTTGATATTAAAATCTTGCTCATGTTTTGCTAAATTCAAATAATATTTACAGATTTTAGTTCTAAAAAACTTTATATGCACTGTACTAAGTCAAAATTTCGTTGATCATTTTGCTAAGAAAAATTTTTTGAATGTCAACCTGATATCACTGTATTTTTTGTTAGCTTTAAACATTCTAGCTTTTTGTCTTTTTTAAAACTATGCTGTTTATATGGAAATTAAATTATACTATCAAACAGATGCCAAATGAATTGCCTAATTGCTGCAACAGATAACCCAGATATCAAGTAATTGTACTATTTTCAAGTAGTCACCTGGTATTTTATCAATTATTATGTTTGGATGTGCTTCATGAAAAATATTCTTCTATCAAGATTTCTAGTAGGGTCAATAGGAAAACAGACTTCTAATCACTATAGTCAATATTTCCAGTTTACCTGAAGATAATATTTGGAAACGTTTTGCTTTTAGTATTGACATTTAAGCTTATGTGCAAACATAATAGCTTAATTAAATATTAGAGAAACTAACGTTTGTTGTAGGTTGGTGTCACACGCCTGACCTGCGAGACAAATCTATTTTGACAGATTTTGACATTTTGTATATAATTTGTATCCATAAACGCGCACGCGCACACACACTAGCCATCCAAAAGTGTGCCTACTTCTATCTCCTAGTATAAAAGAAGATTCCTAAACACCTTTGAGAATCTGGGCCAAAGTCCCTAGAGAAATCATCTTTATTTCAGGACAAATTCTGTAAGCCGCTAAGCACCTTCAGTTCCAAGCTGAGGACTTTCAGCACTTAATAGGACCAGCCCTCAAAAAGTATTTTCACACATATCAGCTTAGTTTTCTTTGGAGCAAGATACATTTATTAGGAAGCATGTTCTTGATGGTAGCAGGTCCATCAAGCCCTATGTTAAATTTCATGTAGCCAGTGTGCTTCAGTTTTCCATAGATGTTCTTTACTGTGATACTCTCCATTGTCACGTAATCTGTTGAATATCCCTCACAGTTACTTAAATTCACAAAATTTATTTGCGCAGTATGATCAATGATGGATCCTGATAGCAAAAGAAAGAATTAAGGATTAACCTACTACTTTTCTTCAAGCTCTCTCAGTGTGAACATGCCTTTTTGCAGGCTGAATTCAGGAATATATCAGCTGTTAAAGGAGAGTGCCTTGCTTTTATTTCAGACAACAGAGTATTTCAAGTTTCTCTGCTCTTCTAACAGCAGTGTGGGGTGTTTTTTGTTTTATTTTGTTTTGGGATTTGGTTTTTTTTTTTGGTAACTTGTGGGTTGAAAGAAATGCTATTGTACATATACAATGTAAATTAAAAACTATTAAATTGAATAACATTTTTTCAGAGGCCCCCGGTGTGTTTAATAAGTATGCTTAATTATGTTATAATCTGATGTGAATTTTTTTATCATTTATAAAATATTAAAAGCTTACCCTGAGTCTTAAAAGTGGAAGCAAGCTTAAGAACACGGAAAATTAAATGGGTATATATTGCATTCAAATATCTTTAAAAAAAATAACAACCTTAAAGCAAAACCTGCAGTTCAGTATTGCCAACTCCAAATATTCAAAAATCATGTCTCAGGTTAACCAAAAACCATGAGATTGACTTTAAAATAATCAGATTATATAAAAATAATAGATTTCTATTTGCCTTCTGCTTTTTACCTCTTTAGGATGCACTGGGATCAAATTTTGAAGTCTTCTTCATAGCCTCAAGGACTAGAAACTTACTTTTCCTTTACGAATACAGGTCCTTTAAGAATACAGGCTAAAAGCATCACATCTCCACTTGACTCCAGGAGCTGGGGTTTTAAGGAAAGCAATAATTACCATGAGACCCATGACAAAATCACGAGAGTGGGCAACACTACGATTAGTTACAAAATCTAAGCCAGATATTGAGGACCACCCCACCCCAGCAAGCAGCTGTAATTTACCTGCAGGTGATCAAGTGTAGAAGGGCAAGGAATGTCAACAGTTCTTACAGCCTCAAAGAGGTGAGCCTGGAGAAAGGAAGACCAGGTCATGAGACACACATCCCCTCCACCTCAATGAATCTAATTATATTGGCAGGAGAACACACCAGGTGGTGCTAACAGCATGTTTTAGGTGTGGTGAATCCCCCTCCTCGATGTGGTTCTCTTTACTAACTAAGACTATGTAATTATCACTGCATTTTTAAAATGGATGTAACAAATGTCTGCCTTTGTTTCAGTATCGCCATAACGACAGATGGGCTCAGAGAGAGCAAGCGTTTTAGTGGAACTTCCCAGCAGGAGGCCAAGTCAGATGAGGTGCAGTAGAATATGGGGGCTCACTAACTGAATGCACAAAGCAGGGGATTGCAAAAAACATTTAAAAGGGGAGTCCTTTTTTGCCTATTTTAATTTTTAAATTAAATATCAACAATGAAATTGTTAGTGAAAGAGACCCAAGGTAGCTTTCATCTTTGAAGTCTCCTATTTGGTCAGACATTGAAATAGTGAGTTACATTCCCTGGGCCTGAGCTCCCACCTTCAAAATAAGAGTTATAAATACTTCACATGTATTTAAACTCACAGGCTACGTCTACACTGCAAGGTTTTTGCACCAAAATCTGCAGCGTGTCCACACCTCAAATGGGCTTTTGCGCAAGTAAATCGGCAGAACAGAGGGCTTTTCCAGTGTAGGTAAACCTCTTTTTACGAGGTATAACTCCTTTTTGCGCTACAGCTCTTGCGCAAAAAGGCATGTGTGGACTCTTGGCAGGGGTTTCTTGCGCAAAAAGAGCCTATCTGAAAAAGGACAGGGGTCTTGTGCAAGTGTCCATGCAGAGTGGACGCTCTCTTGCGCAAAAGCGCATCACAAAAGCAATGCACTTTGAGGTGAGGATGTGCTTTTGTGTAAGAAGTTTTTGTGCAAGAACTCTTCCACAAAAGACTACTTGCGCAAAAACCCTGCAGTGTAGACGTAGCACACAGTTATTTCATGTACAGTGAAATATGTCTGAGGCGGGAGAATAGATCCATGTCCTGACCTAAATGATCAGGGGCTTGCCTCCTTATTTGCTGAACCTGAAGTCAATCAAACTTTTGGGTGTGCAGAGAACGTAGAACTGGGCAATGGACTGTCCAGACTGCAACTTCCTATTTACTTGTTAATTTAAATATATTATGTATTTAAGTGACTTAGTCCTTGTGTGATCTGACCAATTAGTTCTTCAATGGGAGCTTGCCCTGAGTAAGGACTGCAAGGTCAGGTCCATATGGTAAGTCCATCCCTGTGAAGGAGGTATGAACAACAGCCTCTGTACCTCTAGGAGAGTGAACATATCTAGAGGTGAGGTAAATACCTTTATTACTACAGAGCCATTTCTCTTTTAACATTTAAGCTCATTCACAAAATTAAAATGTTTGGTCTGATCTAACACACAAGCCTAATAAAGCTTTGGGTATGCGTAACTTGAGGTAAAGTTGGAGCATGTTTTTCACAAAAACGGCAACTTTCTTGGTGAGGAAATGTGACAAACATTATGACTGGTTATGTGTATTACAGCAGCATCTAGGGGCTGCACTGGAGATGTTGATCACTATGCCTAACACATTGGGTAGGAGGCAGTCCCTGTACAGTATAACTTACAATCTAAATCGGCAAGACAGGCAAAGAGTAGGAGAGGAAACAGTGCATAAGACAGGCCTGCACAACATGCGGCCCACAGGGGCTCACTGTGCAGCCTGTGACAACTACGGGAGGCGTGGCCCCATCCGATCCGCTGGCTGGGCGGAGGAGCGGAGCACCGCCGAGGAGCGGGAAGTGCGGTGATTCTCGCCGCCAGGCTGCCTGCATGCCGCTCCGGCGTGAGGAGGCGAGGCATGAGCAAGAGGGCGGGACGCCAGCAGATGCCAGGACTGACATCTTGACTCAAAAAGACAGAAGCCAGGTAGGGGAGGGGAAGAGGCTTGTGCTGAGGGGAGGGGGGGAAAGGTGAGGAGAAAGGGGAAGATACCAAGGGGCAGGGTGAAGGAGACACAAATGAGACAAATGCCAGGGGCCAAGTGGAGACACGCGTTTTGGGGTTTTTTTTGCTTAACAAACATTTTTAGCCACATGTTTGGTATTTTTTGGAAGAGCATCCCTACTTGCAGCCCGTAGCTGTTTTCTTTGGAGTAATATAGCCCTCGTCGCTTTCCGAGTTGTGCAGGCCTGGCATAAGTGACATGTCCAAGGACACACAGCAGAGCAATAGTAGATCAGGGAATAGTGCCCAGTGCTCCTGACTCCCACTCCAGTACTCTACTCACTATACTACACTACCTTTTTGATAAACTTTAAATGGAAAAGAGGCATTCTCATGATACTAAAACCAGTAGATTCAAAACAACAAAAGTATTACAGCACCCTAATTTTGCATTCACTATTCATGTGATAGTGACAGTAATGCCAATGAGGCTATGTAGGGGTATGTCTACACTACAGCGCTAATTCGAACTAACTTAGTTCGAATTAGTTAATTAGAACTAAGGTAATTCGAACTAACGCATCCAGACTAAAAAACTAGTTCGAATTAGCGTTTTGCTAATTCGAACGAGCATGTCCACATTAAGTGGACCCTTAGCCGGGGTTAAGGATGGCCGGAAGCAGTGCCGGCAGGGCATCAGATGAGGACTTAGAGCGTGGAGCTGCTGTCTCAAGCTAGCCGAGGGCTGTGCTTAAAAGGACCCGACCCCCACCCCGGACAGACAGTTCTCAGGGGTGCCCCGCTTGCAAAGCAGTCCTGGCTTGGATTGCCCGGAGTACCCACACTGGGCACATCACAGCACTCGGCCATCAGACCGGCTGCACTTGCCGCAGGCTGCCATCTGGGGAGAGGGGGCAATTGGGGGGCTGCAGGAGAGCTTCCACCCCCAGAAGCCCA